AAAGACTACAGTAAATGCAGTATCCTGTAGTCAACTTCAGTTTAAGGATGAATACATCTACCTCCAGCAGTAGTGGCTGTATCGTAAAGACAAAAAATCATAGCAGAATGCATAAAGAATACAAGTTCCAATGATCCTATACAACCAAAAGCTGGAGATTAGTTAGTGCACTACAATCTATCTATAAATAGCAAGTAATGTACGATAGTCTACCTATACGAAGTAGCAAACAACTCATGCCACTAGACCAACAATATCCATGCAAGCGGGCAGAAGGCGTTTATAAATTGTTTCAAAGTACCCCTGCATGTACACAGTTGTTTGTATACACATAGGTACACTAAAGGGGAAAGTACAATCTCAACCTGCATGGGCCCCGGCGAGCATGTTATTGGTACACACGTGACGTCTAGGGATGCTGCGCGGGTTGACAAGTGAATTCTAGTTCGAACCCGATCCTCCTATACGGGTCAATAGGAGTCGACAAGGTTCGAACTCTCAAACAAATATACGATTGCTACGACCGGTATATTTGTCTTAATACATTCATATTAGGCCTTTAAGGCCTATAACAAAGAGAATTCACTGATGAGGGCATAAAGCCTACGAAACCCGATCCTCTGTCGACAGCCCGATAGAATTGACAATGTTCAATCCATAAAGAGAAATGACCCCGAACACCCCGATGATGGCCGTATTGATTGGTTATCTCAACCGGAGGGGTTCACAAATACTTTCAAATTCCATTCAAATGCCAGAAAATCTAAAATCTATAAAGTCCAAATCCAAAAACCCAAAAATTTCAAAAATCATCCAGAATTCAGAAAATTCTAAAGATATTTAAAGATTGAAATCTAACCATTAAACACTTAAAGTAAAATCCATCCGCCCTCCGCAACAGTCTGTCGGGGTGGACAAATTCAAATAAACTCTAGCTCACAAAGAGCCAAATGCCTAGTCGAAAATATCACTAGGATCCATTCTCAAACAATCTCTTGCCAGCAAGGACGTGGTACGTGTCCTCTAACTGGCAATTTCGCCGCCAAATGGCACTGCAGGTAAACGGTTATGACCCGGGGCCCTCTGAACCGAGTGGTTTTGCCGCCAAATGGCACCACAGATAGCGGTTATGGCCAGAGCCAATACGCTCCTTAATGGCGTTAAATCCTTGAGATATGAATCAATAGGATATGATTGATAGGGCACAAAGCCCTCTGTGAGCTAAGGTTGATTCAAATTTGTCTCCTTAGACAAACATTCAACCCCGGTCTACAAGGTCCCCTTGGACGAAACAACCCATGGCTGCCGACAAGGATCCTTCTGTCAGGTTGGGTCTACTACCTCATCTGACTAAGTAGACCATGGACCACGATGACCCGGGACGACGGAATCATGGGATCTTGATCGGATCCATCATCCATTCTCTCACCATCCGCTTTAAGTGCAAGATGATGCAATTTCTATTTTAAATATCAATTTTCTAAATCTCCAAAATCTTCAAATTCCCAAATTCTCAATCATTCTCAAACATCCAAATTCGTCAAAATTTCCAAAATTTCCAAATCCAATCATTGCTGCTACTATATGCCAGATAACACGTATACTCTACGTATCTGATCGACGACTAGCCTTAATCGAAAGTTCTCTCTCATGATTGAGAGGGGTAATTAACTATAGGGGCTTGCGCCTATAGGAAACCAGAACTCAGATCATAAAGAAGTCCTCACAAAATGAGGGCGAAATCTCTGGGTAGTGTCTTATCTACAAACCCATCTGCCTTCCAAAATTTACCTCGGAACTTATCAGTTAAAACTCCCTCGCCCAATAAAAAGAAAAATCGCGGCGGGGAGGCCGGGGCCGAATTTTCGGAGCCCACATATAGGTACTTACTGCTACGGATTGATGTTATTGTATAGGAATTTACCCTTTTCTAAATTCCTTTCACTCTTTGGATGTTTGTTTTTTGTGTTTCTTGTCACATCACATCTCTACTGTAAAAAAAAAATTCACATCTCTACTCTACATTTATGCTCTATTATTGTTGCACTTGGTTGCTTAACTGCATATCTAAAATCGTTTTGGTGGCTGTAATCTTCTTCCCTTTCAGGGGCTTCCAAATGCTGGAAAATCAACTCTGTTGGCCGCAATCACACTTGCAAAACCTGGCATCGCTGACTATCCTTTCACAACACTCATGCCAAATCTTGGTCGTCTTGATGGAGACCCTTCGTTAGGGGCATTGAGATATTCCTCTGGAGCCACCTTAGCAGATTTGCCAGGCCTTATTGAAGGTGCTCATTTAGGAAAGGTGCTGCGTAATGCATGAGATCTGTTTTTCCCCTTTCTCCCCGCTATACTAATAGTATAATGTTTTTCAAGGGAACAATATCAATTTTTGTAAATAAAAATTTGCAGGGTCTTGGTCGCAATTTCTTGAGACACCTGAGGAGAACTAGGCTCTTGGTTCATGTTGTTGATGCTGCAGCTGAAGATCCCGTGAATGATTATATGACCGTGAAGGAGGTAAACTCAACCATCACTAGTCTGATTCAGTAAGCTATTTTTATTATAAAAATGGGCTTTAGCTAGTTCTCTCGGAGTGTTGAACAAATCTGCACGCATAATGCTTAGTTAATATGCATTTGTCTATGCAATTAATTTGGATTAACACTTAGACAATAGCGTTCTGTTATTCTGATTAGATTGATCTTATTCTTAATTTGTTTATCTAGCAATCTATTTTAAGTCATATACTCATATTTTTTCCTCATAACATAGTTTCTATATTACAGTTGAATTATGCTTGTTGAGAACATTTATTACTTGCTAAATTACAAATTTATAATTAATATGATGGACCACAAAGTAGTTTCAGGGTTCAAATTTGCTTATTTCTAAATGTCAGTACGGCATTAATTGATTCCTTCCATATGCATTCACAAGTTTCAATAATACCTGCCTTAATTGTGTCTGCTTTCTTTGATGACAACTTTGTTCCATATTCTACATAACATCAAAGAGTAAATGACCAAAATGCTTCCTAGATCTTTTAGGCTATATTCAATTTAGCCCCTTATATTCACCAAATTTGAGCCATATGCTCCTCTCGTCATCTTGACCATTTCCTTTGGATGAAAATTGATGGCGGAAAGATTTGAGTGAGAACTTCTTGGACTTTTTTAGGTCAATCCGATTAGCTTGAGAAATCATCCATCCCTTCAAGCTTCTAGCTATATAATGAAATGCATGATTTGGAGCATCTTATGGTCTATGACAATTTTCTCGTGTTTTTTTAACTCGAGTTATTAATGAGAATGAGTTCTATCTATGAAGAACATGTGCTATTCAGCATCAACAAAGAGAAGAGGAAATACTTATGATTTATTGCCATTGTAATTTTAGATTACCTCTTTTTAATATCTTGGATATTAAAGAATTTTGGGCGTAAGTTTTGAATATGCGCTAACTCAAGATTAAAGAGCAAAGTAAGGAATGGGAGTCTATAATTGCAACATTACAAGCAGAGAAGAAGATTTTGAAGATTGAGATGAAATGATAAAGAAAAAAAGTAATTATGAAATTTCAAAGGCCTTTTCATGTTTTACTATATTGGCTATTAGTTTAATTACATTATCAAATGTAACAATGTAGTGATTTGTTATCGTTGTCTTTGCTATTGGTCTAATTTAACAAATAGAGAAAATGATTAAAAGGGTCCATTGACTCTTTATGAAAGATCAAAATAGTTTCTAAGTATATTAAAGAATCATTTTGGACCCCCAACTCTTTAAAGAGGAACAAAAATATTCCCATGGTCGGGCTATTTTGATTCATTTTTAAAGATTTGAGAGACTAAAATATTCCTTTTATATAGTTGAGGACCATTTTGGTCCTCTTAATTAGTCAAGAGATAATGTTGATAATTTTTTCTTAACAAATATGATATAACAACAACAATAACAACAAGCCTTCATCCTACTATGTGCGGTCAGTTACTTGAATAATTTTTCTTTATTTTGACCTATTAAGAGTCCAACTTTAATTTAAATCTAATAAAAAATGTCTGAAGCATATGATAATCTAACTAAATTAATCTTAAATAGCAATCATAATGCAAAGAAGTTGATGTTGTTACACTATGAATATGATGTTATGTGATGGGTGAAGAGAGCTCTTTGTTAAGCAATGTTTAAAATTGCGTATTCGGGTATTGAGGCGTTTTTCATTCGTGAGGCGAGGCGTAAGCCTCATGCCAGTGAGGTGAGGCAGGCCTCAAGGCGGGCCTCAACTTGGTTGAGGCGCAAGCCTCATAAAAAAACTCGATGCGTAAGCATCGAGGCGTTTTTTATTGGAATTGCGCAAAGGCGGGCCTCAAGGCGAGCCTCATATTGCGCAATTTTAAACCATGTTGTTAAGAATCAATAATGTTGTCGAGCGAAGGGAATAATGAGGCTCAATGCAAAGAAATTGCACAACAATGGATGTCAAAGATAATATGGTTGCTCAACTAACCTTGGGTTGAAGAACAAAAGGATTTTGTGATTAAAATTCATGCTCTAGTACTATAAAGAAATTGAGTAGAGGAATTGTATTCTTCCTTATGTTCTTTTAAACAACCAAGGGAAAAAATAAATAGAGGATATGAAGTTTTTTCTTTCTTATCACATCAAATCAATCTTTAATTAAATAGGTTAGCTTTTAATTACATCATCTAAAACAAGAAGCAGGCTGGACAAAATGGATTGCATTATGTTGCCCGGCTGGTGCTATGACACCCACCCTGCTCGATTGTTTGGCTTGGGGTTTCATGCAGCTGCAAATTGGAGGTGCCCTCTATATGCAAGGCTTTCTTGGCATTTCCTCTCTCAACCTCACTATTCTCCATGGTTATTACATGCAAAGTATGGTGAAAATCTTTGGACCGACATTCGCAAACATGGCATCTCTATTACGTGAAATATCTTATGTGACAGCCTGACAGGGCAAGTTTTCTCCTAAATATGATTAGGTGGAATCTTGCTAATGAGTTGACCGTGTTTGTTTTAAATCATCCATGGATATTCGAACTTCCTATTACAAGTTGGCCTACATTCGTTAGCTGCTGCAAACTGGAGGACAAATGCGTTACTAACCTTTTTCAGCCAAATGGGGAATGGGACGTCCAGCTCATCATTTGATGCTTTGGCGATCCTCTCATTCATTTTGTGCTATCTATCATGTGTCACTCAACTCTTTAGCAGAACCAAGTCCAACATAGCTTTTCCACTCTTAGCATAACAATTACCACTGAGGCGTATGAAGCTGCATATCCTGAATGCCAGAACCCATCTGCTTGGACTCAAAACATCCAGTTGCACCCTCGCTAATGCTCTTTTGGTGGCGTCTTTGCGACAGTGCAGTCCCCAACAACGTTTAGCTCTATCAGAGAGGCCTTGCTAGATTGAAATTATGTCCTTGGGTTCAATAATGAGGAAGATATCAATCATGTGGCCTTTAATTGTATCCAATTGCTAGAAATTTGGAAGGTATTTAACAGTTGGGTATTTGTTGTCATTAGGTTCCACAACATTTTTGAACTTGCTCAATTCAACAATTATATTGCTGAGTTACATCAACCTCTATTCAACTGCTGTGGCTCGGTCTACCAAATTTGGAGGGCTATAAATGATAAGAAGCACCATTGCCCTTTTGTTACTCCTATCATTTACAACAACAACACCCATTGGTTGCCTAAGAATTATTCTTAATGGCCCCACCTCCAAATTTGATTAATGTGAACATTAATGGAGCCTTCATTCCCATCATGCCGGATTGGGAACTGTCATTCGAGATTCCCATGATGATCTTATTTTAGCTTATGGCAAACAAATTCTACATTGGGATAGCACTCAAGCGGAGATTGAAGCAATTCTTTCACTCCCAACATATTATTCCTTGGATGTTTGACTTCCAGAGAATCATTATTGAGGGGAATAACATTAATGTTATAAAATTGTTTTAGCAATTACTGTCATCGAAGTTCCAGCCTACCCACCTTTCCAATGCTCTTGATATAACTTTTTAACTAATGTTCAACAATCCTCTTTTGATTCACTCATAGGCAAGCGAACAAAGTGGCTGATTTTTGTGATAAATTTTATTTTAAATTATACTTTCTGTGGAGGAAGATAGATATTGAACAACTTCATCCTTTTTACTTTTGTTGAAGGAAGATTGTGATATAGGCACAAACTTATAGTGTACTCCTTTCGTAAATATTTAATTTTTTGTGAATGAATGCAATATTCGTATTTTCAGCTAAACCAATAAACAACATAATATAAATAAATAATACAAATAATACTCTTAATTAATATGTGTGCCTAATACGGTTCTCATATTCAACTTTGAACTTTTATTAATTGTATCTTGTTGGAAGTTCGCAGTAATGCCACTCCTTTCCCCAGGGCAGTTCCTTCCCCCAATTACACTATGAGTATTTGGCTTTCTATTTGGTGTATTTCTTTCAAACCAGTGATAACCTTTCTCCTCAGGCCATTCGGTGTATGTTTTTAGGATACTCTTGTTCTTAAAATGGTTATCGTTGCTATGACTCGACTACCTTATGAATGTATACTTTAGCAGATGTTACGTTTCATTTTTCATTTATATGCATTTTCCTCCTTGTTTTGAATCATACTTGACTACTTTGGCACCTCTCTAGTAGCCCGGCTAAACTCCAATCAGATTCTTTGCCTATTGCCATTAACTAAGGCAGGCCATTGCTGTAAATGAATTTGAATCATAATAAGAGGATCGTTTCTAATCTTAATTAAATAAAATGTTTCTACTTCAAAATTCAAGGAACTTTGCAAAACAGCTATTGTCAAAGGGAGCTCTGTTTCGTGGGATATACCTGTGTTCCCTCTTCTTTAATTTGCTAAGAGTTGAAAAGAAGTTGTAGATCAGTGTTGCAAATCTTTTCCTTTTCAAAACTCTCTAGATGGGTGTCTAACCATTTTTGTTACACAATTTTTTATATATACTTTGATATCCAGAGACTATAATCTAGTCAATGACGGTTTTATATGTGAGGTCTATTAGTTAACGTGATTTGATCTTTAGCTGCCTATTATTTTTGTCAATGAATAGGACGTCAAGTTGTTTTATTTTATTATGACAACATCATCATGGAAATGAGACATTTAAAAAATTAGAATTATGTTTTGTTATGCATTTCCTCGAGAAGGGTTTATTTTCCTTGGTTTTTATCTGTCATTTTGTGTAAAAAAGTTATTAAATTTTGTAGGAACTACGGATGTACAACCCTGAATACCTTGAAAGGCCTTATATAGTGGTTTTGAATAAGATTGACATTCCCGAGGTAAATCTTCTTCTATCTTGAATTTGCCTTATGTTATTGCTCAAATATTCTTTTAATAAGTTTCATTTATTTGTATTTGAGGCATTCATTCCATTTTTCTAGCTATTACTTAGCTTGCTATTGAATGTACCAAGATGTCTAAACAGGCTCAAGATAGGCTGCCTTTGATTGCCCAAGAAATTCGGACAATTGGACGTGTGGAAACCCCTAAAGCAGAATTGAGTAAATCTCTACCTAACAGGATTATTGATGGAAATTTGTTGCCTTCATTATCTTTGAGGGAAGAGCAAAAGGAAAAGGGCATTCAGGACTATCCTAGGCCTCTTGCAGTCGTTGGTGCTAGTGTATTGTAAGATACTTCTTTATTTTGGTATCTTAATATTAGTTTTTATCTTGCTAGGTATTCCATTTCTTTTAAATAAATCTCTGGAGTTGACCATTGGCTTTTCATGTTCTAATTTAGAAGAAAAACATTTGCAGTAAAATGTAGGAATGAGAATTATATCATAGTCAGCCAATTAGACCCTAGCTTAGAGATTGGATAGGACATAATAAATTTGAAGTTGATTTCAATCATTTTTAATCATAAGCAAACTTGTGTTAATTTAGCTTTATTTTGACCTGGTTTGATTTTGAATACTAAAACCTCAAAATAAATTATCTTCAAACTTATTGTAACGACCCAAATGTATAGAATTTTGGTAGATATACTTTTGTTCATAAGCATCTAGTAGATCTTAGATGACTTGTTGAAGATGAAAAAAGAATTCTTCTCTAAAGAAGTTGTCAGAAATATGTGGCTATGAATTGCCAAGATGAGCCTATATGATTATCTAACGATTAAAAGAAAAACCTTTTGTAGCATAGTCATTGGAAATTTGTTGGCTTTGAAAAATATCCAACCGAGTATGTTCATGCGTTCAAGTTATTTTAGATTCACTTTCAAAAGACATTAAATTTTGAGATAAGACATTTCCTAAACATTTCATCCTATATATATATATATAGATATCCAAGGGGCGCCTTATTGACTAGGGTTTAAAACCTATCGAAGTGGTCAATTTCAAGATTGGACTTAGCTAACATAGAGTTTTCTACTCTATTAAATGTGTCTTATTGCTCAAAACTCAGGTATGGTCATTGAGTAACATTCAGCTTTAGGCCATAATTATAACATAGAGGTGCCATCATAATTAGGCTAACTGTTTGGTCAAGGGGGCAGGGGCATATGTCATACCTTTATTGGTTAGAGTTCTCAGTGTGAATATTTAGATACACTTTATATGATATTAGCTCTTTGTGAGCTTTGGCCAAACCTATATTTGATATTTTTAGCTAAGTGATCCGAGGACATAAATTGTTACTCTGAGCGCAACGTGACTTTTTGGTTTATATATATATATATACACACACATTTCATTTATAAGGGCTAGATTCAGACGAAGTGATGAGTGTGCTTTGATCTTTTCCAATGGAATAAGATTGTGAGAGTGCATTTATCTTCTGATTTGATAGGGCTTTTTTGTGACAAGATATCCTTCGATTATGAATCTATGATATTCATACAATGAATACTTTAGTGTATAATTTAAGTTAGAGAGTGAGTTTTCACTCTTTTTTGAGTGGTTCATATGGTTTTTCGTAGTGACATGATTTGGGTTTTATTTTGTTTGAAGAGTGTGGTACTTTTTAGTCCATTTTCCCATTGGCACTGATGCTCATTGAAACTGTGCAGGCCTTTTCCTTTTGGTGAATTGGCACATTTTTTGTACAAGCATGCACTTTTACTTTTACTTAATTTAAAGTAGACTTAGTCTTGCCCCCTATTAAAGCTATCCATGTTCATTTCTTTTATTTTGGCTGGTGGCTCTATCATCATTAGAATGCGAGCACAGCTTCATATTTGTGCGCTTTTGGTGCGTTTTAGTCATTTGCACTTTTTTCTGGTTGAGTGAGTTCAAATTTTTATTTTATTTTTTTCATTTGTAAGTTGGTTTGCGAGTATGTGTTGTTATTTTGTTTATTTGTTAATGCCAATGCCTAGGCGGGTCCTGTGAAGGAAGAATACATGCTTATAAATGAAGCTATCTTGCATGTCATTTTAAAATGTTATTTGAGTGCGTAGCATGCGAGGTAGCCTTATTCTCATTTGTTGGCGAGTCATCAAAGTTCACACGCAAGTCTATGTTATTCTTTTTTTGCTCTTTTCAATTTATTTGTAACACATTTAAGGGTCTTTATTTTGTCTTTTTTTAATACTTTTTTTCTATTATATCATTTTCATTTAATAAGGCCCAAGAATAATTTGTTCATTTTTAATGCATATTTCAGGTAGATTTTTAAAAAAGGCATGCACGAGTGTTATGGGAAACTATGATTGAAATTACGTTCTCCATTACATCATCTATTACGTCAAGAAAGATGTATACCTGAGATGTGATAAGGGCAGATTTAATGGGGGCCTGAGAGAGCACATGCCCCCTATAAAATTTTATTATGTTTTTTATGTAACATTTATTTTTACTTAGACAAATATAATTTTTATAAAAAAAATTAATTTATCCCCCCATTCAAAATTGTAGGGTTTCGAGTTATAGTTGTCTAATGGTGTTTTTAAACTAGTCATTTTATACCTCTATTAAAAAAAAAAAACTCCGCCATGAGCACATGATGTATTTGGACATGTACAAATTGCTAAGAAAGATGTATATGGACCATTTGAGGGGTTCTTAATACAAAGAAGTAACAAAATAAATCCCCCACCATGTGAATAAAGATGCATAAATAGATTGTGCAACGCAATGAGATAACTCCAATACTTTTTTCATGGTCAGGATGTATCTATAAGGAGGGGGGAATTTAGATAGAGTGAGTGAAATGGAGTGAGAGAGGCGAACTATTGAGTAGATTTGGGCCCAGGTTCTCTTAGTATGCCATCATTTTATGCTTTATTTGGGACAATTTTCTTACTGTTTTTAAGCATTTTTTAGTACAATTTTTTTAAAAAAAATAATGAAAAAATAATGGTAAAAAACTGTCCCAAATAAAACCTTGATCGCTTCTTGATGAGGACATCGTCAGCGATTTCGACACATGTACCGTCGAAGACGCCGGAGATTGACGGCCACGATCAGGAGTTTTATTTTGAGTCTTTTTATGTAGTAGTTTATTTTATTTTTCAGTTTTACGGTTTTACCCTTATGGGTGGTCATTTTGATATTGTAGCCCCGAGGGCATTTATGTCTTTTAGTTTTGGTTTATTTTGGCCTATTTATAGGAGGCCTCATGCATTGTATGAGATGATCAATTATTGATAATGAAATTTTATGTTATTGTTGATCTCTTAGTGAGTTCATGTTTATCTCTTAGTGAGTTCATGAAAGGAGAAGCTCGAGGAGGGTAACTTGCAATACCCGTCAATCTTTGGAAGAGTCCGAGGTTCGCGGTTCTTACGATCTCTTTGTGAGTTCGTTAGTTATCTCTATCTTTCTCGTATATTCTTGTTCATCTCCTTTCTCCCCTCTTCATGCAACATTCTTCTTCTCCACCACAATCTCCCGCAAGCAACGACCAATAGTTGAAAGGAGCCAAACCTTTCACTAGCTTCGCCATCATTGGAGCCCCTACCCGCCGACCACCCTAGTTCCGCCGGCCGGCCACCTTGCCGCCGGCCTTTTCCCTCTCCACCACTTCCCCACATCTCCCTTCCCTAGTTCCCATTGGAATTTGAATTTCAAAAATTCAAATTCTTTCCAAATTTGGACATTCCATAAATGGAAAATTTTTGAATGAATTCAAATTTAAAATAAATTGATTTGGATTTAATTTAAAATTTTCCTAGTCATCATTCATGTTTGGAAACCCCTCTCCCTCTTTCCCTAAACCCCTCTCTCACTACTCATCCTGCCGGCCCCCTTCTTTGGCTCCCCATTAATTGCCATCAATACTCCTCTCAATTTTGAAATCTAAATTTGATTTCAATTAAATTTCCCTCCCATCCCAATTAAAAACTGAAATCTATTTCAGTTTTCAATATTGAGCTCTCTCCCATACTCTCTCCCATTAATTTCCCTTTTCAATTGTTTCCTAACTCCAACACTTTATTTAGGAAATAATTCAAAACCTCCTAATCCCTCCCTGAGCCGAATTTTCCTCAAGCCCCACCTCTTGATTATTTCCTAAAATCTCATTCTGAGTTAGTAAATTAATTCCTGGAATTCCTCTCTCTCACGTAACAGCCAGCCCCTCTCAATCCCGTGAAGCTAATGCTATACCGCCCCCTCCTCTATCCTAATTGCACTAGAAAAGCTTTTCTAGTGCAGAACGTGAGGCTTGGCATTTACCTTCAGCTTTCTCATAGCCATTAAGGCGTGACTCCTCCCTCAAATTCAGCCACTACATTTAATACACGGCAAAATACAAATTCCAGAAATCAAGGCGTCATCCCTACTGCCTTCCCAGCTGAACACCATTCAGTTTTCAGCAATTAGAAGCCTAATAATTGCTGTATTTACCACAGCAAATTGCTGTCCAGCAATTTCTGCTGTACGCCTCATCATACAATCCTTTCCAAAGGAAGATAATCAGGAGTCTCAAGGCAAATGGCACAAGCTTCTTCAGAATCAGTATTCTGGATTACTGATTGAGACAAGCTGTTAATCTACATCTCAGATGCACCAACATTGTGGTTGTTCTCATCAAGAGCCATCGACGGATACTACTGTCCATCCGAGTAGCCACGCTTGCACTGTTCATCAACTCCTCCCACTTCGAATAGCTTTCCCGTGGACAGTATTGTAAGCTCCCTCTTCCTCATGGTGATCACATTAGTGTTGCTAATATCTTTCTTCTGTTAACCGCCAGAGAGCTTGAGTGAGGGGAACTCAAGGTGACTTTTCTAAATATTAACCCGCGGATTATTGTTAAAGTGCATTCGTCATTACTCGCATGTTTGTTATTGTTTTAAATTGTTGTGCCTAATGAGTTTGTAACAATGCCTAAGCAATTTTGCAACTGAGATTTCATTAAATCATTAACTGTGACTCGTTAATCTTTATATCAACTTGCTTACTCCGTTGTCTTATTATGTCTCCGTGCAATTCCGATATTGTTTCACATCACTTCTCTTAGAAATTAGTCGTTTAATCCTATCTTATATATGATTGTCTATTCTTCTAATAGTTTGAGAATCTATATATATATATGGAGATCACAAGACCAAAAACAAATTGAATGTCATACATGTAGTTTAGCAATATTCAACATAAAGCAGGCACATTATTTCTACATAAAATATACGAGGACAAAGGCTTCTATTCTTTTTCTAGCAGTTTTTGGAGTTTTGGCTTGGATTTTGAGTTGTTGTTTATGTAAAGAATACTAACACTTTTTCATATTGCTTGCAGAAAACATATTGGTGTTGATAATGTCCTTAAAGAAGTTCGAGCAGCCCTTAGGAAATGCCAGGATCTTGACATGGAAGTCACAGCCAGAACAGAGTAGTTGGGTCCAGTAGGAGCTAAGAAGGGGAAAAATAATTAGGTCAGAATAATCTGATTTAATTTTTGTCCGAATGAATTTTAAATCATTGTAGTTATTTTAAAATTAATGTAATATATATATAATTAATGATAGTTATATATATATATGTATATTCTTTATGATTTTTATGATTTGAACATGTTCAAATAAAAAAATTATGATATAAATAATTAATTAAAATTATTATTATTCTATAAAATAAATTATATATAGATATATTCATGAAAAAAGTTATTTTAATATTAAAGACATACCAGAAGATATCATAGGAAAATTATGTTTTTAGTTACCTATAGTAAATTTGAATATGCAGCTATTATGTGGATTATTCTCCCAACCTGATATGACAAAAGGAAAACACGCATTGAAGTCACACGGCATAAGATTTTATGTTGGCAAGCCACATTGTCCTATATAAGCCAACATCTCACTATTTGGCACACAAGCATCAACATGTGTTCTATCACTAGTTCCTAAACAATCCTAATTTATAATAGCGGGGCAGATTTTTTATTTCTTGTTCCACATCATGAAATATCAATATGATAACATGTACCTTCAAAAATGGCATATATCAACTATTATAAAGTATAACTCTTGGCCTATTCTGTTTTATAAGTTTAGTTGATAAACTAACAAACACCTCTAATCCAATTGAGAAATACCTATTGATAATTTATGTTGAATGTAAGGTCACTCACAGTTCAATTTTATGGATTCATTATACAATAAAATGTATAGGTAATTGCTAGTACTTCTTTCTATATTGCTCGACGAACTATGTAGGCCATGCACATTTTCTAACTTGTATAGAAAATCTTAAAAGTTGATTGAGACATGAAATCTTACGGGATGACTAACTAGTAACTCGCAAATGCATTTATCTTTTATATATGATTAGTTCATGCATTGAGTTTTGTAAATATATGTTTCGTATTATTCATTTATGAGGCATAGGATTATTAATATAGTATTTTTGTGTTGATCTTGTTCTTTCAAATTATTTATGTGCTCCTTCTATTCCATGCCCAAATATAGGAAAATAATAACCTTGATAACAACAATATTTTTTTAACTTTAAATTTCTTGTTGTATCTGCAGTTCAGCAGTTGAAATAAAAGAGCCAGATCTCTTTGATATGTACAAGTAACAAAGCTAATTATGCAAGAGGAAAACTTTGTATAGAAAATTAAGGCTTCGTTTAGGATGGCTTTCTTATTGTTTTTAAAGTAGCTTTTTAATATAAAAATTGCTTGAACTAAAATTTTTTAATTAAAAAGATGCTTTTGAAAGCATTAAGAAAGTTGTCCCAAACGAGGCCTAAATCTTCACAACATCCAAGTCATTCACATAGATATTGCCAGTGCTAAATGAAATGTTTTTTATTCACTGTTTGAACTTTTATTCAATTGTACAAATAATGAAGGAAGCCTGTTTAAGGTTTCGTTTGGGATGGCTTTTTTATTGCTTTGAAAAGCTGCTTTTCTGGTACAAAAATCTCTTGAAATCAGGAAAAAAATAGTAGTCTAAAGCTTTCCCAATGGAAGCCTAAGACCAAGTGCTTTCACTGTTTTTGTATGAAGCATTTAAAACAGTGAACATCCAATTCATTCCCTGTTAATGCTCCTACATAATTCAACTGCAGCAGATTTATAATGTTGAGCGTGGAAAATAGTTGCAATAGAAATATGTTTTCTTAATGTTACAGTATTATTTGGTACATCCGTGAAATAGCTATGGTTTAGATGCGTTGCTATCACATTAAAAGCCAAACCAGCAAATAAATTGATTAAAACTATATAATGTAACAACTCAAATTCTTAACTATCGAGATATTGTCCGCTTTGGCCTAAGGGATTTACTGTTTTGTCATGTTGGTGTAACTTCCTCGGAGGTCACCCATTCTAGGATTTCTTCGGGAGTGGCACCCTTAACTGTAGAGTTTCTTAATGAAATTTCAACCATAACACCAAAAGTCGCCTCGATGTTTAGGAGAATATCTTTTTTTACTTAAGGGGTTTCACATATAATGTGTACAACAATTTGCTTTTTTCTATTAGAAACTATAAGATAATAGTATAATTTTGGAGTTGTGAATTTGTTCATTGAATGTAAATGTTTACTCTGTTTCATCTTTGCTTTCCTTCTCCAAAAGAAAACATAGAAGAAATATTTGGGTTGGCAAATAGGCATGGAAAACGCCAAATCAATGATAAACAGGATAATCTAATATACCAAAATCAGGAGATTCAAAAGGAAAATCTTGACATCATCCCATTCACAGAATATGAAGAAGCAGAAATATTGAAACCCTAAATTCATTGCAAATCCTCCATTACATTCGTCGTTGCTAGTTGTCCCTTATAGAAGCAACTTGACAGCAAACCTCTTTGCAGACATGTGAATTGAACCTTTTAAAATTTCTAATTGATAGTAATATATATTTTTGCTTTTAAGAAATGAAATAGACCTACTAAATATAGACACCTATAAATTCACTATTGCACGCATATAAGGTTTTCATAGCAAAATTGGAGATAATATATTCTTTATTTGGGCAATATTATCATAAAAACTTCTTGCTTAGTAGGAAGTTCATCATTAAATTGATCCTACCCTCTTTATTAAATTATGTTATCGAATGATGCAAATCAAAGTTGAAGGAAATTATGGCACCTACATTTATATTCATATACATATAGATTTGGATTAAATGTGTCATGTTGATTTAAAAAAAATTGCACAATTGATATGATGAACTAATCAAACATGTCAGGTTTGGGTTAGTCAAGTTTGCATGGGTTAAGTCAGTTTTAGGTCAAATGTTTTGACCTTTATAATAAATGAGTCATATTTGAGTCGAGCATATTGGGTTAGGTCAAATTTAGGTCAGATTTGAGCCGGACCTACCAACATAAATTGATGTCTCTAATTAGGATACAAATTTACAATGGAAAGTTCCCCTTTTTGATGAAATTTTGCACCTAAATAGATTAATTTTTGTAGTTTTAATAGAGGATCGAAATGCCTTTGATCCAGGGGTATATTTATCTGTAATAGATTTTTGAGTAATTATGGTCATGTCCCAACCCTACAATTTGGCTATACCAAAGAGTCCTTCACCCAAAGACTAATGAAAATCCTCATGTAGAAAACTAAAAGCCTTATGTTCACCCTCTCCAGTTTATTCCAATTTGAACTTCACATTAAGGATCTCTCCTTGGAGAAGGGGGTTTCGTATTTTTGTTCTTCATGCTTGGATAATACAAATATCAGCAACCCTATTTCCTAAGCTTGAATAGCACAAGGGTCAAATGAATATGTCCCCTATAAAGCCATTCCATGTTAACTAGGTAATTATATATAGTTGTATATTAATGCAAGATGCCCAAACCTCAATAAGCTTGTCTGAAACCCCTTTTCCAACACACATTAGTCATGAGGCCAAACCTCATCACATAGGTTTTGTTTGGGATAGCTCAAGCTTTCTATTTTTGTTTTTAAAAGCTCTCTTCCCAGCAATAGTTTAAAAAATGGTTCTTCAAAAATAATTTTTTGAAGGCAAAAATTTGTAAAAAAACAATGAAAAAACTGTCTTTCAAATAGACATTATTTTTCACTAACTGCTATTCTTATAAAAAAAAAACAGTTGAAAAAGATCTTCCAAACAAATCCTTAATCATTGTCTTACAAATCAATGATCCTTATTGGGATTTATTTGTTCTGCAATTATATAAGTACTGGTAAGTAGCTTAAATGACAAGTGATCAAGATGAAGCTCAAGTGACACATAAAACACAACACCTTCAAATTTCATTTCCTGTGACAATTTTATATCTCCTAAGCTTCGATAGCAAACATCCGAAGGAGTCTACTGACCCTCCTCCTATGTAGTACATATCTCCACCCTATAGCTTAATGTACCTAAATGCTCTTAATCCAGAGGCGAATGACTTTATCCCTAGTGGAACTTCCCTTAAGAGTCTTAGACATCTCTCCTTGGAGATCAGAGAGTTCCATAATATTGTTTCTTGAGCTCATATAGCACATTGGTCTTGAGCTTGATTGGACAAGGTTGACCAGCTGCGCCCATACACGTTAGTCATGGACTCATGCCTCATCACTTAGTCGTTATCTTACAAATCAAATTCTCATTACTTAGGTTGAAACTTTCAAGTGGGGGACATTAATATTTTGTTTCACATCCTTACTGGTAGAAGTAGTCAACTCCAGTGAAACCTGATCTCCTTGGAGAAACTTTACCAACACAAAGCTGCATCACACAACATCTCCAAATGTAGATACATACAGATTGATTGTGTTATAATTCACTTGATTTCATCTTCCATAAACAAAGTCTACTAAATTTGAAAATAATGCTCAATCTCTCAAAAAATATGCATCTGCATAGTAGAAAGCTTAATGCCTCTCATTATAATATATAACATGGACCCATAAATCTCTGAATCAACTCAAAATTGTCAACATTTAGCTGATCCATTTCTTCCAGTTCCAGATGATAGCTTCACTATTGCCACTTCTAAGGAGAAGGATTTGAATCCTGTTGATCCTCTGTAAACTCCTCTCTATACATCTCTTCTATCATAGGCTTCCACAGCCGAACCCGTGCATTTATGAACCAGTTTGATATCTGAAATATTTGGAAGTCATATTCAAAAGGGAGGAAGAAGAAAAAGATATTGGATCATTCAATTTGCATATAAGAAAGTATAGCTGGATGTACTAACTTGGTTTCTTTTCAAGCCAGTCTGTGAAGCCAACAAAAGCTTCTCATTATCGCTTGGGTACCTGCAATGTTGCAGAACTTCAAAAATCAAGAACAAAGAACAGCACCAAATGCCTTCAAACCTAGCAGAAAACTACAAAATTAAGTCCAAACATGCTCCTGGCGTGTTTTAAAGAAATCATTACATGCAGTGGATGGTCAATAGGAAGATTGTATGCAACTGTATATCCTCACTACTGGTTATCAGCACCTAATAATTTCATGTGTTTTGTAGATGTGAGCTTACGGGTGAAGGAAGTGATTGAAAAGCCAGGCTCTTAGTACTGCAACTGAATCTTCAGGTAATCCTCTAAGTGGCCTTGAAACCTGTTGAATACGCACCATGCCTATGCTTTGAAGTGCTTCTTTTTTATGCTTATAATTGCTGTGACTGTGCGTGTAAAGAGATGGAGCTCCATTGTTTCTTGATAAGTCTTTGGATAAGGCTTTACTTGCAGAAGTTATATGAGTAGTTATGGTATCCTTCAGGTTAGAGAAGTGTTTCGACATTGCTTTCATGGTGAGAGTTGTATATGCAGCAGCAGCTCCAGTACCAGCTATAGCTTCGAAGGAATCTACTAGTGCATGCATTTGATGGAAATATTGCTGTTGATGTCTTTCAAGCTGGATAAAAATACTAAAACTAATGAATAAATATATTACCTAAAGTTACGTAGAAGAATTCCAATTTGATAAATGTTAACTGTCCGTGCCAACTCAGAGTAGGTTAGTGTTGATGATAACTATATGATGACGATGTTGACGATGAAGAAGATGATGATGATCTTTAAGCTTGGTTATATATTTAATGAAAATGCATATAGATTCCCCAAAAGTGATTTTGAAGTGCAATTCACTCACCATGAAGTATTTTCAAGCTTTAAATGCAACCAAATAGGACGGCCCGCGAGAGTACATCATCAACATTAGTCTTACCCAAACTATGTGTGATTGTCATTATGAATCTCCATTCTCCATTTCTGTATGCTCAGTTCATGAGATGTTAAATATATTATGTTTAAAGCTTTTGAAGAACTTTTATTCATGTTACCTTTGATCTTTCTATCTTCTTACTAGCCCTCTAAAATCCATTATATGGGTGTATTTAATACCTTCGTTAAAGATACTCTTAAGTAGTTTTTCTATCTATAATTTCTAGTTTTGCTACACATGTTCTTAACATTTTTATTTCTAACAACTCATAGGTGTGCTTAAAAATAACATATTGCAAGTCTGATTCAAGCTTCGATATGCTTTCTAAATAGGTTAATATGTTAATTGTGGAAAATATGACTTGTATATGTTAACCATCTTTCATTATGATGAATATGTGGCATGTGTTTCCAAAGTAGATACTGAAAATATGACTAATGTTTCATGCAAAAATATTAAATGGAATGTGTTAAGATTTTTTTCAAAGGCACTATTCCTTATGGAATTGTAGTTTTAGGCTTCGTTTGAAACGATTTTTTACTATTTTCTAAAGCAGCTTTTTAGTACAATAAGAAAGCCGTCTCAAATGAAGCCTTAATCTAAATGTAAAATATCCATTTTCAACAGCATGTATCTTTGACAAATTCATAAAAAACTCCACAATCAAGCACAACAAAATCAAATTTAAATCTTTAGCAAAATCACAAGCGTATGGAAGTAAAAACCTCTTCAAGCAGAGCTACAAGCTTGGTAATTCTAGTCTCAATGTCTTGCTTTTCCTTTGTCAAACATAGAAATTTCATATTTCCTTTCTTTGAATCCATCTCTTCTCCTGTAAATTGTGGTCTACCACAACTCAACACATCCACTGCATCAGTTCTGTCCATTTTCTCCTCTGAAGAAAGCTCAATATCTGAATTTTTGTTCACAAAAACAACTTCATCAAGCAATAGTTGCGCAGGCTTAAGATATCGAGAATTCTGAACAAAACTAACGATCGAGATCGAGTCGTAGTAATTTGCATCTGAACTTCTCGAACCACAGCCACTGCTCGCTGCATCGCCATCACATGTCATGCACTCATGCTTTGCATGTTCAGCACATGAAGATGATGATTCCACCATAACATCTTCATGAACCAAAGAGTTTGAGCTAATATCATTTGACAGTGTATGTGTTTTCTTATAGTTATATGAATTCATTGATTCCATATGAGATCCAAGGCTTAGTGACAATGAATTTCCATTTCCATGTCCATGAACAAGGCCAAGGAAGCTTTCTTGTTTCCCTGCTTCTTCATTCATCCATGATTGAAGAAAATCATTTTGGATTTTCTTATCACATTGTAAACAATGACATAGTTCTTGAGGCTGAGATGAGTAAGAAGCCATGCCTGAGATGGAACAATAACTGTGTTTCAAATCAATGATAGTAAATCAATTTATTGTAAGAATTCACTGAGAGGAAATGAAAGGGAAATTAAATGGGAATAGTAGAGGAATTGAACTGAAATTAGTTTTCATTTTCTTGTTTTGTTTGGGAGAAAATAAGTGAAAATTAATTTTTCTTTTTTGTTTAGTTGATGAGAATTTGAGCTTTGTTTCCTCTGAAGAGAGGATATGTGAGTCTTAGGTTTCGTTTGAGATGGCTTTCTTTATTGTTTCTTAAAATTGTTTTCTAGTATAAAAATTAAAATTTTTATATTAGAAAACTACTTTAAGTAGTAAGAAAGCCGTTCCAAACGAAGCCTTAATATAAGCGTTGTCTTGATATCTTAGTTTGGTGCATTTACCTATTTATCTGTTCATTTATTTAGTTGTTCTTCATTTTGTCGCTGATAACACCAACCTATGACCTCTAGGTCAAAATATAGCCAAACTAAACCGCGCTATATTTTGACCTAGGAATGGAAGAAAATACAAATGTTCTTTTAAGTTCATGTACACTTCTAAAGGCAAAAAAAGATAGTTGAAAATATAAATAATGATTTTTGTTAAAAAAGAAAAAAACAAAAGAAACAAGTTTTTTTCCATTGATGAAACTCTTAGAAATTTGAATTGAAAGACAAAATGCAATTTAAATAAAACCAAGCAGCTAAAACTGATGAGAAGGAGCAAATTTTGGTTAAGTTCTGTGCACAATACACAAAATTAAAGAACCCTAGATCTCAAAAATGGCTTGGAAAAAATTCAGAAAAAGAGCAGAAAAAGCCACAGAAGAAGCAATGGATTGAGGATAGAAGAAATTGAAGAACAAAGTGAAATTTAACTATACCTGTAGAAGAAATGAAATGAAATGAAATGTGGTCCTGTCAAGAAACAATCCCATCTACATCAAACTGCTCTTTAAAGGTCCTCTCCTCCATTAAAAGCCCCTGCAAGGCTACAAGCATCACAGAGAAGAATTAGAGATACAGGAAGGTAGCTGAAGCTATTTAAAAATGGAGTAGACCCCACCCACCTGACCTCTGTAGAAGCAAGAAAGGTAAAAAAATCCCAATGTAAGAAATCAAAACTGTATCTTTACCAGTCTGATTCATGTCATTACTTTAAATATCACCTGTACATCTAATATTCTCTCTCTCTCTCTCTCTCTCTCTCTCCATATGTTGGAAGGTGTGTAATGAATCAGGCTAAAAGCCTGAAACTTAGAGAGAGGAATGGGGCTCAGAGAGAAGAAAGGGCAATGTCATTTTCATCTTCTGAAGCATTTGGATATGAACGCATATGGGATTCTATCATTGAAGAAGAACTCAGCTCAACTTGTTGGGGTGGTTTGGGAGAAATTATTAGGTGCGGAGTGCGTCCGTAGACTAATAAAAATGCGTCACGTCACTTCATTGGTGGTATCCAGTTCGGTACCCGCACTCGGTACTGCTAGATACCCAGTATTTGTGCGGACGGTTCTCCCGTCCGAACTCCGCACCTAATAATTCCTCGTGGTTTGGAGTTTTGACTATCAATCAATAGGTTTTTGGTTCGAGCCTTGTGTGTGTGAGTTTGTCTTAATTGATCACATGTCTCCAAAAAAAAAAATTTGAAGACGAGATTGCTATGTGAGCCAGCTCATAATAATAATAATAATTATTATTATTATTATGAGCTGGCTCACATAGCAATCTCGTCTTCAAATTTTTTTTTTTGGAGACATGTGATCAATTAAGACAAACTCACACACACAAGGCTCGAACCAAAAACCTATTGATTGATAGTCAAAACTCCAAACCACGAGGAATTATTAGGTGCGGAGTTCGGACGGGAGAACCGTCCGCACAAATACTGGGTATCTAGCAGTACCGAGTGCGGGTACCGAACTGGATACCACCAATGAAGTGACGTGACGCATTTTTATTAGTCTACGGACGCACTCCGCACCTAATAATTTCTCCCAAACCACCCCAACAAGTTGAGCTGAGTTCTTCTTCAATGATAGAATCCCATATGCGTTCATATCCAAATGCTTCAGAAGATGAAAATGACATTGCCCTTTCTTCTCTCTGAGCCCCATTCCTCTCTCTAAGTTTGAGTGAGCCAGGTTGACGGCAATTCTTTGAAGGAAAATTTATATACATATCACTTTATAACATCTTATTTATATATTTAACACCTAAAA